ACGTCAGGAAAATAAAACTCTTGTTCCAGTGATCGCATCCTCTTCTTCTGAGCTTCTACTGTCTTTATCTATCAATTTTCACCCTTCTAGGTTGACAGTTAATTGGACAGTTCCTTATTTTATTAATAGGCAACTAACATCTGTAGTTGAATAAGAGATCGTAAATTACATGACGTCAATATATCCTGATAATCTCGTGATCTTGTTCCAACTTCGTCCGAGAAAACAATGTTTCAACAAATGTTTCAGCAAATCCGCCAAAAAGCCTCCAAAACAATAAAGTCAGCCTAGTAATCATTCTGGTGGATTCTGGATGATTGCTTAGAAAATCCTGCTTGGGTAGTCAACTTGCTGTTCCGCATTGGTGGATTGCATAAGAGCGGTAAAGTTGGGAGGGTAAAGTCGATCCAAGTATGATTAAACTCACGGTGTGAAGCGTGGCATTTCTAGCTCAAATAGGAGAGCATCGGCTTCGCGTTAAGGCCTTCCCCAGTATGCGAGTTCAAATCCCGCCGAATGCCGCGAGCTTTTTCACAATTGGGTCAATTAAGTTTAACCTATTCTGAATAACCGCACCGCCGATTACAAATCACAATGTGGATTGGGCTCGTTGGGTGCTGCGCCTACCGTAGCGGTATTACAGACATCCTTCACGGCAGGGAAATTTGCGAAATACGACTCTGAAGTCTCGATAAATGCGCCAGTAGCAACGGTGGATCAAAAGTGATAGCAGGTTTTCCTCAAATCTGGACGACAATAAAATCTGCAAATATTTTCATGCTTAATTTGAGAAGTCAATTTGGCAAAAATATGTTTTCAGCAACTCTTCATCAGGCCAAACATTTGCAGGGATCTTGTTCAAATTTCTTCCGGGAAAACAAAGTTTCAACAAATCAACTGACAGCAATTTATAGCTTACACTCGTCTTGGTGTTCTTCTTTGCAAACTCAATTTCATCTATGTGGCTTCGGATGAACTCGATGGAGGCATCAAAGTCAGCCTGATTGAATTCATACGGTACCGACCAACCAATTGGCGAAAACTTTCGACGTCCCTCCACAGTGCTGTGCAGAAAGGCAACCGCGTAGAGGGCCACCTTCCACTGAATGCTGACGCAGGCATCCAGGAAGTCCTGAGAGATGTCAGAGTAGGTCTTAGCCAGACCGGAGCGCAGGCCCTCCGGTGGCTGGTTAGTGAACTTGATGGAGACCTGCAGGAAGTTGACGGGGAACTTTTTGTGCTCCTCAGTGGTGATCCAAAG